TTTCTGTTTAACAGAGGGAAGATTGTTTCAGCACATTTCTAAGCATAATAGTTTTAATAACTCATTTCTAATAACGGATTTATTTTATCTTTGCCATGATGACAGTAAATAATATTTTACTAGATATTTTTAAGACACTTCTATACAGCTTAAAGTGACATTTAAAGGCTTAACTGGGTTAATAAGGTGAACTAGGCAGGTTAGGGTAATTAGGCAAGTTATTGTATAACAATGGTTTGTTCTGTAGACTATCGATAAAAAAATTAGCTTAAAGGGGCTAATAATTTTGTCCCAAAAATGTTTTTAAAAAAATTCATAACTGCCTTCATTGTAGCCGAAATAAAACAAATAAGACTTTCTCCAGAAGAAAAAATATTATCAGACATGCTGTGAAAATTTCCTTGCTCTGTTAAAAACCATTTGGGAAATATTTAAAAGAGAAAAAAAAAATCAAAAGGGGGCTAATAATTCTGGCTTCAACTGTATATACACACACAGATATGTTTCTTCTCTATGATGCACACAAGGGTTAAATAGTTGCAGCAATGTATGAATTCGTTCCATCTGTTTTTCATCACCATGCAGATAAGGATACTGTAAAAGTGCATGGGGGGAAACGTCACTTAAAAATGTGTTGAAACACAACTATGTCTGACTATCGCTTTCAAGCACTTTAAGGTTTTGTCTTTTACTGTTTGCCTAAAATATTTAGCAGTATCCTGAAGAGCTAATCAGATATAATGCTCAAATGTATGAGTTCAACTATCAGATGTGGTCAGACCAAATGTAAACTAGGGTTTTCACAAGATTATCAACCGGTATTTAACAGGAAGCCACATAAAGCAGAGCTCAAACAAAAGCACAGTTCTGTGGTGGAAGACTAAGGAGCACATTGAGGAGGGTTATAGAGGTAACTGGATCTGAGAGGAACAGAGGGGTCTTCCTGCCCCAACAGGGCTCTCCAAACAAATGGAGGGGTGTGGGGCTGGAGCAGAACTCTGTAAACACACTGGTGTTTCAGCCTAAAGAGAGTCTAAATCTTGCCCTGCTTAATGCCTATATGCCAAAGTGGCTTTATAAAAGGAATTGTATAGTTGAAAATACTCTTTCACTACCATTACCAGAATTTTTCAATCCGTATTTTCACTGTTATATGAAAGAGCATATAACAATGCATATCTACACCTCCAGATGCAGTGTTGATTGTCTTTGGTCAAACTATTCTATCTATTCGATTTTTGTTCTTACTATATATATATATATATGTATATATATGTATATGTATATATGTATGTATATATGTGTATATACACACACACACACACACACACAAGTCAGAATTATTAGCCCACCTGTTTATTTTTTCCTCAATTTCTGTTTAACTAAGGGTAGATTTTTTTCAACATATTTCTAATCATAATAGTTTTAATAACTCATTTTTAATAACTTATTTATCTTTGCCATAATGACAGTAAATGATATTTGACTAGATATTTTCCAAGGAACTTTTATACAGCTTAAAGTGACATTTAAATGTTTAACTAAGTTAATTAGGTTAACTAGGCAGGCAGGTTAGGGTAATTAGGCAAGTTATTAATAAGTATATAAGTTATAACGGTGGTTTGTTCTGTAGACTATCGGAAAAATATAGCTTAAAGGGGCTAATAATTTTGACCTTAAAATTGTGTTTAAAAAATTTATTCCAGCCGTAATAAAACAAATAAGACTTTCTCCAGAAGAAAAAATATTATCAGACATACTGTGAAAATGTTCTTGCTCAGTTAAACATCATTTGGCAAATATTTAAAAAAGAATAAAAAAATCAAAGTGGGCTTAATAATTCTGACATCAACTGTATATCATTATTAATTACATATATTTAGGGCTAATTCCTTTATATACTTTTAAATGTACGATAAAACAATGTTTTTGGCAAAAAAAAAAAAGAGTTGGGAGTAATGGCTATTTTTTAGGTATAATTCCGGTTGGTTGGAAACAAATCAATGCTATTTGTCACTCTTTATGTTTCTTTGTGGGTTTCACACATTTTTAACCAATTAAAAGTATCAAAACAAAGCTTGTGACACTATTAGACTCTCAAAAATCTCATAACTCCAAGCCGTGTCCATTTTAAAGAAAGAGCAAAACAGAGTTCATTTATATTTTGAGGAGCCTTTAAATAGCATAATAATATGCTTATTAATAACAAGACATTAATAAAATGACATTGATAACATGACCATTTGGGCAAATGTCTAAGAGCACATGAAAAACTAATCAACCACATAGCTACATTAAATAGTATGTTAATGAAATGTAATGCAGTGCGATTATATACTCAGATCATTCTAAAGATGGACAAACCACATATCTTAGTTTGTTGTCATAGTTTTAATCTGAGTTTGGTGAAATGTTATGTTCTAATGGTATAGGGAACATATGCAAGTAACCATATGTAAAGCCACAACTTGGAAGATGCAGAGATTTTCTTTTTTTGTCAATAAGAAGGGGACTTGGACATACAAAGTTTCAATTTCACAGTAAAAATTTAAGGATGAATTATTAATTGGCAAGAATTGAGCTAAATTTCGTATAAGATGTTTCACAACCTTTAAAGACACCAGTGGATAATCAATGTTCAATCAGAACAAAATTACTCCTCGAGTTCAAATAGATTTTTAAAGATATGGCCTGCATGACCCCAAATACAGTGTGAAAGAGGACAAAGACTCTGTTCTGTGGAGGGCACTGCGTCAGACATTACCAGCCCCATAAGGGGAAAGCCCAGAAATACAAAGGTGCATTGTGGGAGTAAAGAGGAGATTGCGAGGCTTGGACAGATCCCTTCATGAGCTCGTCATGGTCATGAACATCTGGGGCAAATCAAAGAGTGAGCCGAGCCGAAGGCTTTTCGGTTCGGCTGCACATTCCAAAACACTGGGTTGCCTACAGTTTCAATGGTTTGGGGAATTGGCAGAACTCACACTTGGCTTGTTTGTAGTGTCAGCAAAATGTGTAGTTTGGGATTTTTGTACTTAATACTAGCTTAAATTTGACTTACTTTAAGTCTTTTATCACTCACTCACTTTCCTTCGACTTATTCCCTGCTTTATCAGAGGTCGCCACAGCGGAATGAACCACCAATTTCTCTGGTAATTGTTTTACACTAGGAATGCCCCTCCAGCCACAACCCAGTACTGATCCAACACATTTATGGTCAAGAATACATGGGTTATGGAAAAAAATATATTTTTATTCTATATTTATCTTGATTTATTTGAGGTTTATTATATCATGTTGATGAATTGAAATAACAGCATTTAATTAAGGTAAACAGAAATAATTTTAGAACTTTAGAAAATTATTAATGTCGCTTTAAAAAAAAAAAAAAAAAGGAAAACTTCCCTGATAAATAATTTCTTTAAAAACATTCACTCCTGAGATGGTCGTATAATATAGAGTGAAACAGCAATACAGCTAATGCTGAAATCAATAGCACCATAGCATATATTGGGAATGTTTCAATGTCATGCCTCCTTGCTGAATAAAAGAATTATTTAAAAAAAGAATAAAAATAACATTTATATAGTGTGTACATATTTTCTATGATACTTTATTCCCAGTGTTGGGCAAGCTACTTGAAAAATGTAAGCTAAGCTATTAGCTACTCTACTTAAAATGTAGCTTAATTACACTAAAAGCTAGCCCCTGGGAAATGTAGCAAGCTAAGCTAAAAGCTACATGGCAAAAGTAGCGTAGCTACATCCAAGCTATTTTTGCAATTTTTATTTTTAAATCGAAGCAACTTAAATCCAAGTCAATCATGTCTTAGTGATCAATAAAACTGTCAATGAAACATAAGAGGCATAATAGTTCAGTCTAGGTATTTACTGTAAATAGTATGCTGTAATAAACAGAAACACATTATAGTATAACAGCTAAAATTAAAACATTCCAGTAAAACAAGGTGTTACACATTTAAAATACTATAGTAAAGGGATTTGTTTTGGAACAATATATATAGTTATCGTAAGTTATAGTAAGTAAGTTATAGTAAGTTATTGCATCTTAACATGTACTTCTCGAGGTATGGTCACGTCCTGCTTCAGAAATAACTCCTCTCCCTCAGTCATCTTTCCATCAAGCAAGTTTCGGTTGGCGACATCGCCAACCAGAGGTGGCAGTAACGCACCAAAAAGTTTGTTGTCGAACACCGTAAAACAGGAAGAAGAAGAATTCCTCATTCTAGCCATCATATGGATTTACTTTCACCGGCTACACACCGGCCTCACAGCTCCGTGAATGTCGGTGCCGTCACTTATTGATGCGCGATCTGTAACTGTAGCTTGAGTGGAATCTACTGCGCTACTTGACTGATAAAATAGCTTCGCTACTGAAAAGCTATTTGATTTAGAAAGTAGCGACGCTACCGCCACGCTACTGAGAAATGTAGTTAGCGTCACTACTTGTAGCGACTCTACTGCCCAACACTGATTATTGCTTAGATCAGGGGTTCTCAACTGGTTTGGCCATGGGACCCACATTTTTAAATGGTCATCAAGCCGTGGCCCAAATTTTTAGGAACTATAATATAATTTTAGGGATTATATTTAACCTGTATTTATGTTTACATTCACAAGTAGTAACAGATAAATCATAAGAAAATTACCAAGACCTACAAATAAATATTTAATTGCTGTCATTTAACAAAATGTATCAAATTATAGAAATATAACAAAGTAAAAACGTTGAATACTGTAAACAGTGGCTAGGGTAAGGAAAAGTTCAGTTACTATTAACTAAACTGAACTGTTAATAAAACATTAACACTGATTTGGTTGAACAGAACAAACTAGCAAACTAAAGTAAAATAATTTTAAAAATTACAACCATTTTTATATTGTTTTGAACACGAAGATGGCACTTCTTAGCTATTTGAGTCATCTTTGAAAATAGTCCATAGGTTTGTCCTTGCAACTGGGATGTTTGGTTTCTAAATGTCGTTTTGATTTAAAAGATTTTATGCTCTCTTGTGAGAGCACCTCACTACATATGACACACTGAGGTTTTAAGCCCTTTTTGTCGTCAATATAAGTAAATCCACACTTTACATATTTAGGGACATACTTGCGCCTCGACATATTTGTTGCCATAATTAAATAAAATTTCACATGTATGGTTGTACATTTAAAAACAAAAGTCCGACATAAGCAAATTAAGTTAAAAATTAAACTTGTTTTTTTTTACCACACACTCCGCGACCCACTGAAAATGTTCCCGCGGCCCACTCTTGGGTAGCGACCCTCCAGTTGAGAAACACTGCCTTAGGGCCTACTCACACTAAGCTATCCAAACCGTGCTCAGGCCCGTTTCCCAGATCGTTTGAAAAGTGTGAGTGCACTGAATCGGGCTCAGGCACGGTTCACTTGGCCGGCCCTTGCCCAGTTGGATGAGGTGGGCCTGAGCGTGGTTCACTTGGGCTTTGGCGGGGTACGCTTGTAGTGTGAGTGCAAAACGCGCCAAAGCCCGAAACTGAAAGCGAGATGTGACTTTTAAGGGACTGTTTCATATGGATTTATTAATCATTCTTACTGTTCAGTGAACGCAAACTGCGGTAGTTTATTAAAGACGCAAACCCCTCACTTCACGACAGCTGTGCACCTTCAGCAGACCTCCTCATTCCTGCAGCACGAGGACTTTATGATCATTTATGAGCGCCAAAAGTGGCTGATCTGTTCAGCGAAATATCTGACTGCGTGTCACTGCATCCCTAAGGACTGTTTGGTGAAATTTTTGACTGCATATATAACGACTTAAACGATATAACTAGAGAAATCTCCACTGTCTTGAGCGAGAGCACTTACTGAACAGTGCAGCATCGATGACGCAAGCTTGCCCAGGCCCGATTGTAGTGTGAGTGCGGGCCGTCAGGGGAGACGGGAGGGGGGACAAGCGTGCTTTGGCCCGGTTCGAGGCAACTGTATATAGTGTGAGTACGGCATAAAAGTCCGATATGAGCAAAATAACTTAAAAATTAAACTAGTTTTTTTTGACCACACACTCCACGACCCACTGACCCACCAGTTGAGAAACACTGCCTTAGACAATTTTCAGTTTTCCTTATGAATACACATTAATTATTTATTTTTTTTATAAAACATAAAGTATAAGGTATGGAATTATTTCTTCTGAACTCACCGTGGCATTTGACTTCAGGGTTCCCCCAGAACAGTTCTCGACACTCTCTGCAGGTTCTGCCACCAAATCCAGGTTTACAAGAGCACTGGCCCATAATCTACAGCACAGAGAAACACACACACACACACACACACACATACATTAATCTCTATGGAAATGTACTTTATCCAGGGTTCATGGAAAACCTGGAAAAGTCATGTCATTTTGACATGGCATTTTCCAGGGCTGGAAAAGTTTTGGAAAAACAGAAAAGGTTTTGGAAAAGTCATGGAAATTACATTTCGGAAAAGTCATTACAAATTACAACTTACATTTAGTCATTTAGCAGACATTGTTGTCCAAAGCGACGTAAGCTGCGGTCACACTAGAGCAGGGGTCACCAACCCTGTTCCTGGAGAGCACATTTCAGTTGCAACCCTGACCAAACACACCTGTTTGTAATTATCAAGTGCTGCTTTAGGTACTATTAATTGGTTCAGGTGTGTTTGATCAGGGTTGGGACTGAATTCTGCAGAAAGGTAGCTCTCCAGGAACAGGGTTGGTGACCCCTGCACTAGAGCTTGTACTATAGGTCTGCATTCCCGCGGCTGTCCCGTGGGCGCCGCGGGACCCGACCAGATTTCTGCGGCGCGCGAATAAATTTTCGAATCAATAGCGGGAGCGGTCGGTAACGGGATTATTTTGAGACGGGAGCGGGCTGTCTAGCAATATCGCGGATATTGCTATGCTAGAGAGAGAGAGAGAGAGAGAGAGCGCGCTTTGCCTGTCTGTGTGCTTGGTGCTTGTGGGTGTGTATGTTTGTGCGCGCGCGCAAATGAGAGAGAGAGCTTTCCCAGATAGCAAAATACACTCGGGCCAGTTCCGGCTAGATTCTCGCCTGCCGGAGACTTACCTGCCTCACCCGAATCAATCGGGCCAGATGCGGCGGCCGTAAGCGAGCCGACGCTGCCGCATCCGCGCCGGAATCGGCCCGAGAGTAATGTGCGCTGCGGCCCGGAGCTGGCACGACTCAGTATTTATATACCTTTATATAAAACCTTTTGGTATTACATCGGTACTTGAAACATGGTATTACAAGCCTTTGAGTTGATATAACAGCAAACGCGTGTGTGTTTATACAGACAGCTTGGCTGTCTGGACTGTATAGCTAGGTGATTTTTGGTTTTGTTCTCCCCCGCTCTTTAGCGGGACGGGCGTGGCGGCTAGAAAATGGGGCGGGTCAGGCAGCGGGACTACAAATTCTTAATATAAGCGGGAGCGGTCGGGTTCGGGCTAAAACCGGGCGGGAGTGGGATTCAAAATTTAGTCCCGCGCAGATCTCTAGCTTGTACTTGTGAAATTCTGTCAATGTGAAATTCTGTGTTTTGCATATTTATTTGTTTATAATATATAGCATGGATTATCATATGATAAACAAAGATTAAATCTTTGTCATGGACCATTTTTTTCAAAATAAGCTTGAAAAGTTGTCTGTAGCAGGGTGGTGCTGACGTCACAGGCGAGCGCCCTGAAGTCACTATAGTCCGTTTATAGCCTAATGTTAGCTTTTCAGTTCTTGCGTTTGCATTTAACATCCACAAGTGCTCAAAGTTGTAAAGTCATGGAAATTACATTAAAATTTAGTCATTTAGCAGAGGCTGTTGTCCAAAGCGACGTAAGCTGCGGTCACACTAGAGCTTGTACTTGTGAAATTCCGTCGTTTGGCGTTGTGAAAAGAGGTGGTACTAAACAATATGATTAGACGTTAATAAAAGTGAGCGGTTCCTCCATAGTTTAAATGATCTTTTATTGGTCTAACGCAATCACCTGATGCGATTTCGAGGTAAGAATTCACCAAGCTTGAACATTGGAAAGCAGTGAAACGCAAAACTTGTCGCACGTGCTTGCGTTTCTGGTCTGCCGCGTTCACATGCCTATGAATGGAAGTCTATGAAGCGAAGTGCAGTGTGATCGCGGCTCTACAATAGAAGTAGTTTTACCTACTAGTTTAACAAACTATCAACATCATCTAAACGTTTGACAAATATCTGTATACTGAAATGGAGGTTAGTTGTTTTTACGTCTTTTCTCGGCCAAAAACATGGTCTCACATCATTAGTGCTGTGTGAGCATCATCTATTTTACATAGATATGAAAATAAATTGAAACTAAAGAGATTGTTGCGTGTTTTATGATATGCTGTAATGAATTTAAACGTTCATTGTTTTTCTTATGATTTACCACGTATACGTAGACATTACATGAAACATTAGGTCATGACGATTAACTTGAAAGTTCTGAAAGTCGTGGAATTTTTGTAGTAAAAATTCATATAAACCCAGTTTATCACTCCCCCAAGTATGATTTGTGTCTGAATGTGGTCTAACCTCATTGCAGGAAGAGCCAAAGGAATGGTTGGGGTCGCAATCGCAATCCTCGCAGCCTTTCCCGCTGGCCATATTCCACGTGTCAGGAGCGCATTGATCGCAGTGCTGGCCCACAACATTAGGAAGACACAGGCATTGTCCGCTGGTTAAATCACAGTTGCAGTTACCTGAAGAGGGGCACATCTCCTCCACAGTTCCCATTTGATTACAAACACACTCTGGAAAAGAGACAGACCAAATTCCAGAAATGTATGAGTAACAATATTTACAGATATCTTACATGCAATTAGCAAACAATGGCATAAAGATTGGCTGGTTCCTCTGAAACCCTCTACCACCCCAGCACCACCTGTCTAGATCTGCTATAGGATTTATGTACCCCTTATTTGTGCCATGGCATTAATATGTATATGTTTACATCCGTGTGTTTTTCTTTTTACAGGCAGATTGGCAAAATACATCAGCATTGCCTACAGTTTCAGTGGTTTGGCGTATTATAAAGGTTGATTTATTTGATGTTAGCGTAAATAAATGAAATGTAAAGTTTACATTTGATATTAAATAACGGTAAACAAGTCTCTAGTGTGTGGGCAATGGGTAGCACGTTCGCCTCACAGCAAGAAGGTCGCTGGGTCACTGGTTCGAGCCTCGGCTCAGTTGGCGTTTCTCTGTGGAGTTTGCATGTTCTCGCGTGGGTTTCCTCCGGGTGCTCCAGTTTCCCCCACAGTCCAAAGACATGCGGTACAGGTGAATTGGGTAGGCTAAATTGTCCGTAGTGTATGTGTGTGTGTGTGTGTGTGTGTGTGTGAATGTTTCCCAGAGATGGGTTGCGGCTGGAAGGGCATCCGCTGCGTAAAAACTTGCTGGATAAGTTGGGGGTTCATTCCGCTGTGGCGACCCCGGATTAATAAAGGGACTAAGCCGCCAAGAAAATGAATGAATGAAGTCGCTAGCGTTATTGTGCACAATTTACTATGCATTTTTTTGAAGGCAAATGTACTGATTTACTGTTAAAAGTCCTCTCCGAACCAAGATTACATTGTACAACAACAGAGCGGAGAAAGTATGACGTCAATTCGCCGAAAGCGAGTTAGCATTTTAGCAGTTCCAGTTCCCTCGTCCCAAAGTCAATAGGTTTTTTTTCAATGGAATTTTAGTTAAATCGCTTAAGTAAGGTTTGTGGCAAACGCAAACTCAAGATACTTTTACGTTTTATTCTACGACATAAAACACAACAGTTACATCACACTCTTGATTTTTTTAAAACGGTAACCCTTCTTTAAAAAGGCGATTGCTGTTAAGTCGCTAAATGGCACAACAGGTGGTGTCCGAGACATTATACGTCATCAAGATGATCTGGTCTGGAGCACAGCTTGCTTGTGTTGGGCATTTGAATTTGTCTGTTATTTACGCATTTTCATAAATAGTATTTTACTAATTGGGATTTCATATTGTGTGTAGATAATTCCTTCACTTGAAAACACCATCAAAACAGATTCAATTGTTGATCTTTTATTTTAATAAACAATGTTATGAAGATACTGCTTACCAGTGCAGCCTGTCTCTTTCCTGCTCTCAGTAATGCAAATGTGTGAATAAATGTGTAAAAATACATATAAGTTAACTGTCATTTTATTGCGATCTATTGATTTTTTTTTTTGTCGTGTTCTTTCTTCTTTTGAACACATTTAACTCTCTGCCAACTGTCATAACTGCAATATTTGCACTCCTCCATAAAATGTATAGCATATTTGACTGTATGGGCTGCTTTTCGCTGTTTTTGTGACCTAAAAAAATATTGAATGTTGTTGATGGAACTTGCAGGCATTTGATAGACTTGTCCCTCACGCCTCATTTCTGTCATATGTTTAGGTAAGCAGGCTGTGTGCACGCGAGCGATACACTTATTTAAATATGTCTCATGATAATACTATGTGGGCACATTTATACATACAGTTTTAAAACTTTTACAACAACCTTAAAGCAAAACAGATGCATTTCTCACGTAAAAAAACAATACAAAAGGCACGTAGTTCTATGTGTTTTGCGTATTTATTTGTTTATAATATATAGCGTGGACTATTATATGATAAACAAAGAGATTAAATCTTTGTCATGGACCATATTTCTCAAAATAAGCTAGATAAGTCGTCTGTAGCAGGGTGGTGCTGATGTCACAGGTGAGCGCCCTGAAGTCACTATAGTCCGTTTAAAGGCTAATGTTAGCTTTTCAGTTCTTGTGTTTACATTTAAGATCCAAAAGTGCTCAAAGTTGTATTTTCGTGTGAGGATTATCCGGCTGGACAAAATATGTAAGTGTAATGAACAGTGTTCGAACACAGAGCTTATTATTAGCAATCTACAAAAAGCCTATGGGAAAGTCCTATAGGCATTTTATCGAGGTTTTATGCTAGCAGCCGATTAGCCTACAAGGTGACGTCATAGTTCCTCCACTCTATACTAAAAAGCTTGGTATAGTTTAAGAATATTTTTCTTGATAATAATAAATAATAATTATAATTATCAGGCATTTTATAAGAAGTAATAACTAGAATATTCCCAGATATTTATGTCAGAGCATAACTAGTTAAATGGAGAGTTCACGCAAAACTGAAAATTCTACCATCAATTATTCATCCTTCACTTGTTCCAAGCTTGATTCAGTTTCCTTCTTTTGTTACACACAAAGTAAAGCCTGGTTTATACTTCTGCGTCAAGTAACCGGCGTACCCACGATGCATGCAACGCGCGTAGCTGTGCATTTATACTTCTGCGCGCTGTCTCTGTTGGTCTGTATTAACACTTCCGAAATGCTAGTTTGCAGTGAGATGTAAATGTTCCTCTGTGTCGAGTTTCTTCTCTGCTTTTTTGCTTTTCCTGAACACTTCCGGGATGTACAAGTGGTTCAAACTCGCTCATTTTGAGGCAGGAACCGGCGGACGTGCAACAACTTTAACTATGAGGTAAACACAAAACAAAACTTTTCATCCGGAGCTCCTTCACGGGACTCCACACTTGTAAACAATCGCTCCATCAGGCTCGCACCATTCATGCGGCTCTCGGTCCCGCCCAGACTCGTCAGTGCTACCAAGCCGACCAATCACAGAGCTTGCGCTTCACGTAGTTGTGACGCCGACGGTCACGGCGAAAGGACTATGCGTAAGCGCCGTAGCATACGCAGGCGTGTGACGCAGAAGTATAAATCAGCCTTTTGATGTTTTGAAATAACCCGGAAACCGGTAACCATACACTTCCATTGTATTAGTTTTTTCTTCTAAGCAAGTCAATTGTTGCAGATTTTCAGCTTTCTTATAAAACAATTTAGAACCACTTGAGGGAGAGGAACTATCTATGATATTTTAATTTTTGGCTGAACTATCACTTTAATACTACATTTGTATATTCAATAAAGTAAAATTGTAATTTTAGAAAACACAATTAAAACACAGATGTATTCATAAACTCACTTCTGCAACTCTGAGTCAGTGCATTGCCGTAATAGCCAAGTCTGCAGCGGTTGCAGCTTTCGCCCTCAGTGTGGTAGAGGCATTTGACACAAGCACCAGTGCGGGCATCACACGACTCCGGGTCCATCATGTCTATGTTGCTATTGCACTGACAGGGCCGACATTCTCCGCCAACTTCATGTGGGTTTCCGTAATAACCAGGGGCGCACTCCTCACACCTGGCACCTATAGGCAATAATAGAGAAGGTGTGCTGAATTACAGCATGCTAAATTACATATTGCAAGATTTGAAAAACATTACATTCAAGACAAAAAAAAGATCAGCACATTTTTACTGTTTGAAGATTTGTTTAGAAAGTCACTTCTTATGGTCAACAAGTCTGTACTTATACAGCTAAGGAAACATTATGTGACCAATTCTCTAGATAGTGCTCAAGTCAAAATTTTATTATTTGTTCTATATATTCAGGTAAAGTATAATGTACAGGTGAGGTCAGAATTATTAGCCCCCCTTTGAATTTTTTTTTCTTTTTTAAATATTTCCCAAATGCTGTTTAACAGAGCAAGGAAAATTTCACAGTATGTCTGATAATATTTTTTCTTCTGGAGAAAGTCTTATTTGTTTTATTTCGGCTAGAATAAAATCAGTTTTTATTTTTTAAAGTTCGTTTTAAGGTCAAAATGATCAGCCCTTTAAGCTATATATTTTTCCTGATAGTCTATAGAACAAACCATTGATATACAATAACTTGCCTAATTACCCTAACCTACCTATGAACCAAATTAACCTAGTTAAGCCTTTAAATGTCACTTTAAGCTGTATAGAAGTGTCTTGAAAAATATCTAGTCAAATATTATTTGCTGTCATCATGGCAAAGATAAAATAAATCAGTTATTAGTAATGAGTTATTAAAATGTTTATTTGGACTTTGACGCGTTATTTCTTATTTTCTTATTTTTTATTTGTTCATTGTACGTGGTGTTGTTTATGGTAACTGAAAATGTATTATTTTGAAAAAGTCAAACTTGCTTCAGTGTTCTGTTTTTTGTTACAATATTTCTGTTTAGTTCATTCCCAGAACTTTTGGGCAAATACATTGTCAGTAAATAAATGCACTATTTTTTCCCCCACTGAAAAACGCTGTAGAATAACATTGAAATAAATTGCTATAACTTGCTCAGGGAAAGGTGGATGTAGACGAAATTTATTTTGGAAGTATAAAACATCATAGCATGTTTTTCTAAAGAAAAAAAAAAAAACAAACTTCATGAAGTTTTGTTTGTAATACCTAGAAAATGCCACTTTTTTTAAAAAACGTTCTTCTTAAAATTGTGGAATATTTTCTGTCTGTTCATATGTTTTTGGACCAAAAAATATTTTAGACTGGACCTTTAAATGATACAGAGTGAAGCTTCAGGTTCTCCTGTTTAAAATAATATTGACACTTAAGGCTGACTGCCAAAATACCAAAAAAAAAAAATGCTTTTAAGAAAATAATAACATAGGCCAATAAAATACTTCTAGGTCTTTAAGGGTTAAACAAAAACAGGAGGGGGCTAATAATTCTGACTTTAACTGTACATCCAGGTGTCTTTTTCTTGCAGAATAAAGCCTGACAGGCATATTAGCAGTGGTTTCATAGATTGATATAGTTTATTCTACAAAAACAACAGTCTAGATTTAGATTATCCACTTATTACAAGGCTACTTGCGGCAAAACTAAACAATTAGACAAAATACATTGATCTGAGCTGCAAAAATGTACTAACAACAACTATTCGATTGCAAGAATTTCTGCACAGGAAACACTATTGTCATTGTCTGTTATAGAGCACCGTTTAAATGTTAGGTTTGAGAAAGATTTTTGCTACAACATTCCTACTTTTATTTAGAGAGCATATATTAATCTGAGGCGACGCAGTGGCGCAGTACGTAGTGCTCTCGGCTCACAACCAGAAGGTCGCTGGTTCGAGCCTCAGCTGGGTCAGTTGGCGTTTCTGTGTGGACTTTGCATGTTCTCCCTGAGTTTGCGAGGGTTTCCTCTGGGTGCTCCTGTTTCCCCCACAGTCCAAAGACATGTGGTACAGGGGAATTGGCTAGGCTAAATTGTCTGCAGTGAATGAGTGTGTATGGATGTTTCCCAAAGATGGGTTGTGGCTGGAAGAGCATCCGCTGTGTAAAAAAAAAAAAAACGTACTGGATAAGTTGGCGGTTCATTCCACTGTGGCGACCCCGGATTAATAAAGGGACTAAGCCGAAAAGAAAATGAATGAATGAATAAATGAATGAATGAATATTGATCTGATCAAACGTGAATTGTATATTTATTTTTGTCAAATGAATGAACTACCCATTTATCAAATTCCCTAAAAAATGTATCATGGCTTTTAATTCACAAAGTCAGGGTATTCTAATAATGATTCTCAAAATTAAACTTTGCAATTACAAGAATAAATTAAATTTCACTTTTTTTTTTTTTTTTTTAACTATTTAACATATTTTTAACAAATAAATACCCTCTTGGTGAGCATAAAATACGTCTTTCAAAGATACTTTTGAACCTTAGTGAGAACTACATGACAAGTTCTAACCAGTTCATGTCATGATAAAGGAAATTTATGGTGTTTTTGATTTATGGTGCTTACCTTTATATCCTTGGTTGCAGACACAAAACACCTGGCTGGAGTCAGGACTCTTATAGCACGCGCCAGAGAACTGCCGACCACTGCCGGGACCGTCAGGACACATGCAGGGGCGACAGTGATCTCCAGATCCCAGGACGGGGTCACCATAGTAACCACCCAAACACCTGCAGAAGGGATTTCATAAAGAAAACCAACACTTTCATCTGGGATGTGATGACCTGTGCTTGATATACTAGAGGGTATGTAATATTACGTTATTGTCTAGTTTCATAATGCAGGGATTTATTATGCAAGTAAATGAAAAAGCTTTTAAATACATGCACACTTTTGAATTCAAGCACGCTCTGTGTATATATAATAGATATATACTGCAAAACGCAAGGCGCAAACGCTTTCAGGGCGTGTCAATGTGTTTTTGCTAATTTAAGGACGGGAAAATCTGCTTTGCGCCGTGGCGCATGGTCTAAAAGGGTTGAGTTTATTTTCTTAATGAGTTATAGGTGTGTTTTGAGAATAAACCAATTAGTGTCTCATCTCCCATTCCCTTTAAGAGTCAGCTGCGTTGCGCCAAGAGCGCATTCGCTATTTACAGGACGCAAAGTAAGTCTAAGTGGAAAAAATTAGCATTTCACAAGCAAACAGTTAACAGTTGACAGTTTTTTAACAGAAAACTGTTAAACAGAGCATCTACAGCGTGAGAATGAGAGATAATGGATCTACTTTCACATTCGCTATTGGATAGGGAAACCTTTACGCACAGCATCAATTAGTCTATAAATAACTACTTTTGTTTGTTAAGCGCAAATATTCCTTTCAAAACAATTTCTAAATTCAGTTCTAATTTCCAGCAAACGAATAAATGAACAATAATAACAAAATGAGCACAAAAACCTGAGTTATATGCTAAAACACATGCTGTGCCCCATATGGTCTAAAACCTGACAGGTGGGCAAATCTAAGCTTGTTTTTAATAAAACAAATATAAATATGGATATAATAAATAATACTGCTAATAATAATAACATTATACAAAAGCAATCTGTTATGAATGAACTGAAAAAGCCTCCCGAGATGAAGAAGACATAAAAGCAGTGATTTTACATATTTATGTAGGCTAGAAAATAATATGTTTTGTAATATTTTAATCCTTTACATTTATATCCTATATATATATATTCTTATTATATCCTATATATATCCTTAATATAAATTTTTTTTCATATGTAAAGATATTTGCCTATTGCTCTCTTGTGCGTATTAAGCAGTGCGTAAGCACTCAAAATAGCAACGCGCCAGCGGTCCGCCTCAGAACGCCTTCCTTTTTAGACCAGAACGCCTATGGGCGCATATATGAGCACTAATGCATTTGCTATTTAAACAGCGTTGCGCAACGCCTTAAAACGACTCTTGCGCCAAGCTGAAACTACCAAAAGACTATTGCGCCACATTGCGCCACATTGTGCCGGGTGTATGATAGGGCACTAACACTAGGAAGCCAGTTCTAATTCCTCATCTCATCTCTTTTTCAATGCAATTTACCGGGGCCGGGTCACGGGGGCAGCAGTCTTAGGAAAGAACTCCAGATTTCCCTCTTCCCAGACACTTCCTCCAGCTCCTCTGGGGGGATCCCGAGGTGTTCCTAGGCCAGCTGAGAGACATAGTCCCTCCAGTGTGTCCTGGGTGTTCCTCGAGGTCTCGAGGTGAGAGTAGAAAAGTAGATTGACCAGTAAATCAAGAGCTTTGCCATTTAGCTCAGCTCCTTCTTCATCGCAACAGACCGGTACATCGACCACATTGCTGCCGCCGCTGCACCAATCCGCCTGTCAATCTCACGTTCCATCCTTCCCTCACTCGTGAACAAAACCCCAAAATACTTCAACTCCTCCACCAGGGGTAAGGAGTTTCCTCCAACCTGGAGATGGCAAACCACCTTTTTCCGGTTGAGCACTATGGCCTTGGACTTGGAGGTACTGATTCACATCCCATCCACGTCACACTTGGCAGCAAACTGCCCCAGTGCATGCTAAAGGTCCATGGTCGATAGCAGAGACTGGGGATGCAGAGGTGGACTCACCCATCACCCAAGCTGAGGTCACGGAGGTAGTTTGCAAGCTCCGCAGTGGCGGTGGATGAGATTCACCCTGTGTATCTTAGGTCTCTGGATATTGTGGGGCTGTCTTGGCTGACACGTCTCTACAATATTGCATGGAGGTGGGGGACAGTACCTCTGGACTGGGCAACTGATGTGGTGGTTCCCATTTTTAAAAAGAGGGACCGGAGGATGTGCTCCAACTTTAGGGAATCACACTCCTCAGCCTCCCTAGGAAAGTCTATGCCAGGGTACTAGGAGGATCTGGTCGATGGTTGAACCTAGGATCCAGGAGGAACAATGCTGTTTTCGTCCAGGCCGTGGTACACTGGACCAGCTCTATACCCTCACAAGGATGCTTGAGGGTTCATGGAAGTATGCCCAACCAGTCCACATGCGTTTTGTGGACTGGGTGAAGACATACCTGCCAGCACTCCCGTATTTAAGACCCATCTCCGGTTTTGTTATTTCTCCAGGAAAACTCCTGTAATTTCGTTTAATTTCAGACAATTAAATCCACCCCCAATTGTCGACTGTGGTGTAATATCCGATTGCTGGTGCCTCAAACCCGGTGCACTTTTCGGATTTTCCATCAAATGCCCCTTGAAAAGTCTCCAGACGTCCACACCACTCAGCGCCCCAACCCCCACACACCCAACCCCCATTTTTCAGAGACAACTGTTGGCAGGTATGGGAGAAGGCATTTGACCATGTCCCTTGTGGCATTCTGTGGAGGGTGCTCTGGGAGTATCGGTTCAGAGGCTCTCTGTTAAGAGCTGTCTTGTCCCTGTATAAACAGAGTAGGAGCTTGGTTCGCATTGCCGGCAATAAGTCAGACTAGTTTCCAGTGCATGTTGGACTCCAGCAGGGCTGTCCTTTGTCACCAATTCTGTTCATAATTTTTATGGACAGTATTTGAAAGCACTGCCTTTGGCTAGAGGGGGTCTGGTTCGGGGACCACAGGATTTGATCTGTTATTCGCAGACGATGTTGTTCTGTTGGCTTCGTCGAACAGTTCTAATTGTATGTTTTTTTTATTTTATTTTTTATTTTATTTTTTTACGAGCTATATTCAGCCTAACATGCAATTTAAAGACTTAATCAGGCAAGTCATTTTTTGTGGCCAATCTAGAGAAAAGAAATCTTAAGCTAATAATATATTGACCCTAAAAACTATTTTGAAAATACATATAAAACTGCTTTTACTCCAGGCAAACTAAAAGAAAATGGACTTTCTCTAGAAGAAAAAATATAATAGGAAATACTCTGAAAATCTCATTGCGTTGTTATACATCACTTGGAAAATATTTGTAAAAGAAAATGAAATTTGGCAGGATGGCTAATAATTTTCCCTTATAATTAGGGGTACGGCTCTCCTTTTTTTTTTTTTGTCCTTGGCCAATTAAATGGCTGTTTTAAATACATTTCAAAATTTAGTTATGAACAGTCTCCAACCTCTCACAGTTGTGGCCAGTGGTGTGATCTCTGCAGGACAGACACTGTCCGGTTTGTGGGTCGCACTGCTCCGCGTGGCCATTGCAAGTGCAGGGGCGACAGTTCGGGAAACCCCAGTATCCAGGCAGACATCGGTCACACTGCCGTCCATACGCTCCAGCAATACACTCGCACTGACCAGTGGCCTCATGACAGTATGAGTGAACGGAGCCCTCAGGACTGCAGTCACAGGCTGAATAACAAGAAATCAGAGTTAAGCTTTCAGATACAGTTGAAGTCAGAATTATTAGCCCCCCTGTTTATTTTTTCCCCAACTTCTGTTAAACGGAGAGAAGATTTTTTTCAACACATTTCTAAACATAATAGTTTTAAAAACTCATCTCTAATAACTGATTTATTTAATCTTTGCCATGATGACGGTAAATAATATTTGACTAGATATTTTTCAGGATACTAGTATTCAGCTTAAAGTGGCATTTAAACACTTCACACTGTAAAAAATATTGTTATACAAAACAAAAAAAATTAACGCAACAGCTGAAGTGGATTTTGTATTCTTTAAAGTGTGAAGTTAATCTATATATTCAAATTGTATGTGTATAATCTGCTTGTAGACTTGCATACCATTAGAAGAATTACGATATCACAAGAACTGGATAAGTTATATAGTTAGCAGGTCTGGGTCAGGGGTTAACCTAGGTGGAAATTGAGGTCAGGGGTTAACCTAGGTGGAATTTGTGTGACATATGTAGATCAAAGGGAAAAATAGTTGCAAAAGAAGTATATAAGCAGGCCAGAACATCAGTGAGACAGAATTTTTCAGACAGAGATGCTACTGGGGGTCTCCTGAAAGTTCTCCTTTGTTGTCGACAATAAAGTATATTCTTCTGATATTCATAACCTCCAGACTGAGTTTGATTCAGTAAGAGAAAAAACAAAAAACCACTACACAGCTTGCATTAATATATTCAAGTTATAACAACATCTAACAAAATTAAGTTCCGACAACAAACTTTATTATGTTAGCCAAATCTTTTTCTCTTCAATCAGGCATTTTTACAGCGCAAAAACCTCAAATTTTTAGATTGAGTACTCAAAAAAATAAGTTGTTTCAATTTTTTTTATAAAATTGAAAAGAAATCCTGTGTTATGTACTTAATTACATGCATTTTTTTTAAGTTTAGAACCTCAAATAAATTAATACATTTTTGTTTGTTTTCAAATTTACTGTTTATGCTTGTAAGAAATACATTTAACAACAACATATTTGTTTTTCGGTAAATTTTTTTTATTATTATTAAAGCACAGGTTTTGGTTCCACTTTATATTAAGTGTCCTTAACTACTATGTACTTACATACAAAATAAATACAATGTACTTCTGTGTTTATAATGCATTTGAGAACACTTGTGGTACTTTTGAGTTGGGATAGAGGTTGGATTATGGACAGGTTTGGTGGTATGGGTATTTAAGGGTGGGTTAAGGTGTAAGGGATGATCAACAAAAGTTAATTACAGATGTAATTACATACATGTATTTAATCAAGCATAAGTACACAGTAAATACATGTGTTTACACAATAAGTACATTGTAACAAACTATTCATACCTATGTAAGTACATAGTAGTTAAGGCCACTTAATATAAAGTGGGACCCAGGTTTTTATTGTTTTACAAAACAAAAACATGTGCTGTCCCATATTATCCGTATAAAAAAAATCAGTATAATAAAAAAAAATCAGTGTGTGGACTCAAAAATACAAAACAACGCTATTAGTGTGGTAAAATTTATTTAGGTTGCTACAAGTTAAATATTGTTTTAAAGTAACTGACAGATATATTTACCTGTAAATTAGCCGCATTTTTAAATTTATGTAACTATCAATATTTTCATGTTTTGAACAGTTAATCAAATTATTCTGGCAGCTTAAAAGTTCTAATCTAATCAGCATAGTTTAGAATACAATAATGTATAGTTACAATAATGTATTAAACTATGTAGTGGTTACAGACCTTTTCAGTTATTTTTTAGAGTTAATCAGGCAGGTTAGGGTAATTAGGCAAATCATTGAATAATGATGGTTTGTTCTGTAGACAATCGATATTGCTCAACAAGCAGGCTAATAATTTTGACCCTCAAATGTTTTTAGAAAAAATTAAAAACTGCTTTTATCCTAGCCAGCATAAAACAAATAAGACTTTCTTCATAAAAACAAATATTATAGGAAAAACGGTCCATTGCCCTGTTATATGCTACATCATTTGAGAAATATTTCAAAGGCAATAAAAATTCACAGGAGGGCGAATCATTTGGACTTCAACTGTTTGTGCCAGAATGTGATAAACAAAAAAAAGTTTTACTTACATCGGCATCCTTGTGGCCCAAACAGGAAGGTAGCAGGAGCACATCTGTCACAGTTTCTGCCAACCACGTTGGGGCGACACTGGCACTGGCCACCACTTGGGTCACAAACTGTGCTGAGAGACCCCTGTGGGTCACACTGGCAGGCTGAGGCAAACAGAGGAGAGGCAAATATATGACTGAGTTTTTGATACATTTCAAGATATCATTTATTTTTCTCTGCTAGATAAATAACATCCAAAAGTTGTATAATTTACAGTAAATTGTATCCATTATTAATGTAAAATAATGAAAAAAAAAAGTTTAAATGTCGTAGGGAGCTTTAAAGGGTCACGAAACACCAAAACACATTTTTTGAGCTGTTGACAGTCGTATATGTGTCCCACACTGCTAAAAACACTATTAGGACACCTATATTTCACTAAAAAGTATAAATTGGTTGTTTTTGCGTTATTTCAAGCAAAATCGTACTTCCGGTTTAAAACGAAATTTTGAAGCTGCGTCACGACCATGAGATAATAGCGTGTATTCCAGCGTGCAGACTGGGCGTCTGTGCCAGAGTGTGTCTTATTACGTCTCAGAGTGTGCTGCATTAATGCATGAGTAAAGCTTGGTTCAAACCAATCAGCGCGCTCTATTGTGCAACTTCATTAATATTCATTACTGTCACAGTGTTTAGACGGCAGAGACGCCACGTTGTGTTGGAAAAACAAGCGTGAAGTGTTGCTTTTATAGTTTGCTGCCGTTAAGATTTGTTTTCATTTTCTCTATATGAGAGCTCATCTGGAGTCACGTGTGGATTAATAGTGTACGTGATGCTCGACAACAATAACTTACGTGTCTGAGTATTATTGTTTACCTGAGAGCTGTTCTCATCTGCAAACGCTGAGATACGGATTCGCTTGTAGTCTTCTTTTAATAAAGACGCGGCTCTAGTTGCTGGTGATTGTCCTGTCTCTACAGATTTGGTAAGTGAGCGACCAGTGCTCTTTGTTTATTCAGTTTGTTCATATCAAACTATGGTAACTATTGCACCGAGTGTAAACATGTTAGCACCACAACCAAACTTTAACCTCGTGTAGGGCTTTCACCGCATTTTGTGACCAGAATAACACACGCGGCTTTCTGACACTATCTGCTCTGTGCATCTAAGTTTCCGGGAAATGCGGAGGTTTTTTTTCTCTCATTCGCCGTGCGGTATCAAACATTGCATGAAAAATACACGCTTAGAGCAGTTCCTCGAATCAAATATCTCGTTTGTCGCGAGGGGCATGAATGAATTCCCTGAATGAAAGAGCCAAACTGCAGTTAAAGTCCACCATTTAATAATTTGGCAAATAATTCGACTACAGATGTCCATGTAGGTTAAACACCATCACTTTCTCCTGTCTGTGTGTATTTTGACTCTGAAACTTGCGCGTACCCAAATAGACACTCCCACACCATCCCACTTTAGTTCCTCCAACACTCCCGCCTAAACAGAGCTAGACACGCCCACTTTTCTGACTTTTTCCAAAGTAGAGGTGTGAAAACACCCTGCTGAAACGAGGGGGTTTCATGTCCCTTTAACACCACACAAGCAGAGGGAGCCCTCGCCCGACTACTGACTCAGCTCTGCTTTTGAGTCTTGAATACCACATTTTTGTATAAATTCATGGAACAACATACTAATTATTGTACTATAAACTTGCTAACAAATGTTGCATAATAGTAATTGTTGATCTCATTTGCAAAAGCTTTATAAGTTCAATCAGGATAAAGTTGTCTATTGCTCTGATCTCAATAATTAGTCAAGAAATTCCAAATGTTTTTCATGTAAATATTTTAATTGTACTTAATCACGTTACATGTGTAGCCTACGTTTCCTGGAAAGACATCTGACTGTTGCTTTTACACTGTGTTTGCCATGTAAGTAGCAGCACGTTATTCATTGTTTGATTTTATCATGTGGAAGTGAACGCTGATATTTATAGTCAGCAGAACTCGCATTGTGATTTATGCCTCTGGCCAGGTTTTTTTGCACTTCTTCTTGCCCTGACAGATGATGAAATGGTAAAGTCTCAGACAGGAAGCATGTTGAGCAGTATAATTACGCCTGAGGCTCCGTTACAAGCTCTGACACGAGACAGTAGAGACAGCAGACGCAGGAAAATGAAAGCAGAATGAACGATGACAGAATGAAGACTGGCGCGTCTATCATAACGACAAAAAGGGGGATTCTTATGTGGTTAGAGAATGGAGGCAGTGTCAGCGGTGATGACAGGGTGAGTGTTTGTATGTGTGTGCGCTTTAAAGTGGAAACGTTTGAAATAGCAAGTTCAACCCAAAATATCAATTCTGTCAAAAAGTATTCACCTTCTTTAAAACCACATAAAACTTATGTTATATGCTTCTATCCCTTGACTGAAAGTCTATTTACAAAAAACTATCATGCTTTAAAACATTCATAAAATGAACCCATTTGAATTCATTCATTCTCCTTTGGCTTAGTCCCTTTATTCATTAGAGGTTGCCACTGCGGAATGAACCGCCAACTTATCCAGCATATGTTTTACACAGCGGATGCCATTCCAACTGCAACCCAGTACTGGGAAATATCCAACACACTCATTCACACACATACACTACGGACAATTAAGTTTATTTAATTCACCTATAGCGCATATCTGAACTGTGGGGGAAACCAGAGCACCCGGAGAAAACCCAAGTGAACGTTGGGAGAACATGCAAACAACACAAAGAAATGCCAACTGACCCAGCCAGGGCTCGAACCAGCAACCTTCTTGCTGTGTGGCGACAGCGCTACCCACTGCGCCACCGTGTCACCACCTATTTTAATTGAATGGTCTAATCCAGGAGTGTCCACACTCGGTCCTGGAGGGCTTTTGTCCTAGAGAGTTTAGCTCCAACCTTAATCAAACACGCCTAAATAATCTAATCAAGTTCTTGCTAGATATACTAGAAACTTCCTGGCAGGTGTGTTGAAGCTAAACTCAGCAGAACACTCCTGGTCTGATCTTAGTCTTTTCAAAATGGCGATTGTTTGTGTTAGAAAGATTTGAAAAACCACACATTTCCCACATAGAAGCACCACAATGACAATCAGAAGAAAGCGAATGTACAAGTAAACACATGTACCTGCAATTGTAAATGTTATTTGTGCATCTCCTTGACACCAGAGCTCTTGTCTTATCATTGTGGCTTTATGTTTTTTACTTAGATGGTTTATTTATCTCAAGTTAATTATTTGTACAGCCCTGTCCTAGGGCTGCTCGATTTTGGGAAAAAAACATTTGTAATCAATTGTAATCACGATTATTCCAAACGATTATTAGTTGAAGTCAAAATTATTAGCACTCCTGAGAATTTTTAAAAAATAAATATTTCCCGAATGACAGAGCAAGGAATTTGAACAGTATTTCCTCTAATATTTTTCTTCTGGAAAAAGGCTTATTTGTTTTTGATTTGGCTAGAATAAAAGCAAATTCAAATATTTTGAAACCTCTTTTAAGGTCAATATTATTAGCCCCTTTAGGCAATATATATTTTTGATTGTCTGCAGAAGAAACTAATGTTATATAATGACTTGCCTAATTACCCTAATTAAGCTTTTGAATCACACTTTGAATTTGAATGTTTGTATTTAAAAAAAAAAATATCTACTAAAATATTATGAGCTGTCATCATAGCAAAGATCAAATTAATCGGTTATTAGAAATGAATGATTAAAACTATTATGTTCAGAAATCTTCTTTCCATCAAACAGAAATTGGGGGAAAAAGGTTGCTAATATTCAGGAGGGCTAATAATTCTGACTTCAACTGCATATATTATTTTCCTCCCTGCAAAGGAAAGAGAAATAAATACAATAGAATAAAAATATGAAACAAACTGTGCTTTTAGCATCTTCACCGTAAGAAAAACACTTTAGCTACACTTTAGTTTATTAATCATGATAAAACAGGCCGCAGCTGTGCTCTGTCACTTCTAATGGTTTCGCTTTCACGTGTCTTTTGATCCTCAACTTGTTTGTTTATTACAAAATGAGGGTTAATATGAATAATCACTAAACACCGCGTTTTGACACCTATTCGAACATTAAAGCGCTCACGTTAATGACTTCCCTGCTGAAAAATCCAGCTTAAACCAGCCAAATCCAGCTAAAACCAGCTTGACCAGCCTGGTTTAAGCTGGATATAGCTGGTTTTGGCTGGACTCCCAGCTTGGCTAGGCTAGTCAAGCTGGTTTTAGCTGGTCATCTCCCAGCCTGACCAGCTAAAACCAGGCTGGAAATGGCTGGAAACCAGCCTGGAAGTGGCCAAAACCCCTCTAAAACCAGCCTGGTCGACCAGCTAAAACCAGCCAACCAGCCTAGGCTGGTTTAAGCTGGATTTTTCAGCAGGGTTTAGATGTGTGTGCTCTCTGCTGTCACAATGTGCGAACGAGACCAAGTGCAGACCGCATGCTTCTGACTGTCTGCGCGCCGCACACACATAAGCATGAGGTCTTTCGCGTTTTTAAGAGCAACAAGTGAGGACAACTGGACATGGGGCGGTAAATAATGGAATAATTGTTTATCTCGATTAATGGTTTTTCATAATCGTTAGAAGCCATAATCGAAATCGGATTTTCGATTAATTGCACGGCCCTACCCTGTCCACAACACACACTGTTTCAGAGCATCTTTACAGTAAGTTTTTACAGTTGTACTCCTGTAATGACTTAGGGCAGGGATGTCAAA